TAGATATTTCATGTACTTAGGGTTAGTTAATTAATTTAGTTAGTAATTAATGGTTTATTAATTAGGGTTAGTTAGTATTTCATGTACTTAGGGTTTGTTAATTAGGGTTTGTTATTTTTGCTTATACTTAGGGTTTGTTAATCAAGATGCCATCTCCGTTTAATTAATTCTTATAATTATAAAAATGAGTTTAAATAATTATTTAAATTTTTTATTTTGTAAATTCTGTAAGAGGTAGGTTTTCATATCTATTTAATTGATGGAGGATAGAATCTTAGTTATGAGGGGTTATTTTCGTTTTGTTTTTAGAGTGACATACAATATTTTCCTAACTAATTACGAGATAAATATGGAGAGGTCATTATGGATGTACAACTTATCAAGATTAGACCCATCTTATGTAGTGGAGAGTCCAAAAATTTATTGATGCCGTGAAGATACATGCTCGAGAGAACAAAGGCGAAGCACATATGTTGTCCATGCTTGATCAGTAAAAATATTGTGGTATTTGACAATGTGGAAGCAATCACTTCTCATCTGGTTTGCAGAGGATTTGTGGAGGACTACTTGATTTGGACAAAACATGGTGAGGGTAGTTCTACACCTTATATGCGGACAACTGACAACACTGCAAGTAACATCAATGTGGAGGGTCCAATGCCATATCTCAATGAATGTGATGCTATGCCAGATATTAATGAAACCCATCATGCTATGCTAGATGTCAATCAAACTCATAATTCTACGTCCGATGTTAATGAAACTCAGCATGTTAACACTGATGCCATTGAAGATGCAGATTTCTTAGAGGCAATAATGAACCGTTGTGCGGATCCATCAATATTCTTCATGAAGCGAATGGAAGCCTTGAAGAAGGCAGCAGAAGAGCCTTTGTACGATGAGTTACCAAAGAGTGGTTGACACTACGGGCTGTTCTTCAGTTTTTGACGATTAAGACTAGATATGGTTGGTCCGATGCTAGTTTCAATGATTTATTGCGTGTACTTGGAGACCTTCTTCCTAAGGAGAACAAAGTGCCTGCTAACACGTACTATGCAAAGAAGCTAGTCAGTCCACTTACGATGGGTGTTGAAAAGATCCACGAACCCTAATTAACAAACCTTTAATTAAAAACTAACCCTATTAAACAAGCCTTTAATTAAAAACTATATTAATTCACGAACCCTAGGTACATGAAATAATAACTAACCCTATTAAACAAGCCTTTAATTACTAACTAAATTAATCCACTAAGTACATGAAATAATAAATAACCCTAATTAACAAACCATTATTTACTAACTAAATTAATCCACAAACCCTAATTAAGTACATGAAATATTAACTAACCCTAATTAACAAACCTTTAATTAAAAACTATATTAATTCACGAACCCTAGGTACATGAAATAATAACTAACCCTATTAAACAAGCCTTTAATTACTAACTAAATTAATCCACTAAGTACATGAAATAATAAATAACCCTAATTAACAAACCATTATTTACTAACTAAATTAATCCACAAACCCTAATTAAGTACATGAAATAATAACTAACCCTAATTAACATACCATTAATTACTAACTAAACTAATTCACAAACCCTAAATAAAGGGAATAAATAACCTTTAATTACTTACTAAATTAACTAACAAACCTATTATTAATAAACACTAACTAAATTAACTAACTAAATTAACTAATTACTAACTAACTAAATTACTAACTAACTAAATTAGTACAGACGGGCCCAGCAGGCAACGCTGGCCCAGCAGGCCCAGCAAGCAAGGCGGGCCCAGCAGGCAACGCTGGCCCTAAATAAAGGGAATAAATAACCTGAATTTCCGTGGAAAATGAAAAAAACATTAGTATAGACGGCTGTTGATGAGGGCCACCAAGACTATAATGTATTAGCGGCCCATCATTAATGTACTACTGCATTAATATATTAGTATAGGCGGCGGTCAATGACGCCTTTGTGTGAAAAAATTTTACAGCGGTGGTCAATATGGCCCGCTGTACTAATGTGCTCCAATATAAGTTCCGCAGGCCCGCGAAAATTTCTAAGTCCCGGGCGCGAGTTCGAAATTGACGCCGTCAGTCTGCCAAATCCGCCGCCGCTCCTCCACCGCCGCCGGACCGCCACCGTCGTGAGCTGCCGCCGCCACGCCGCCGAGGGACCTCCACTCCGCGCAAGACGCCTCACGCCGCCGAGGGGACCTCCGCTCACAGCAGCCGAAAGCCGCCCGCCGCCAGCCATGCCAGCCGCCACGCCGCCGAATCCGCCTCCACCGCCGCGACGCCGCCGAACGCCGAGAGGTAGGCAGTGCACACGCCACCCGCCGAGCTCCGCTCCGAGGCGGCTCGATCGGTCTTGGCGGCGGTTGCTGCCATGTCTTGCCGCCACAAGGCCTGAAGGCCGCGGCGTGGCGTTACTGCTTGGGCTCACTGGGCTGGCAGCAGCCGCCTTTTTTTTTTTAATTAATTAGTAATGTTTTATTAGTGTTTGTTAGGTAATTTTGTTAGTAATTAGCTAATTTAGTTAGTACTTTAGTTAGTTAGTAATTTAGTTAGTTAGTAATTAGTTATCCATTCCCTTTGATTGGATTGTTTTTTATATTTATCCATTCAAAGGGAAGGTGCTTGTCCTAGACTCCTTACATTATCCTCCTCAGTCGTATCAAACATTCCTGATTCATTTAGAAAGGTGAGCCAACATGCAACCACATCCGTACTTATATGAATTAGAGTTTCTAAATAACTATAGTGTTTTATATTCGATATCTATAGGGCATGGCGGTTTTATAAGAAGCAAAAAGGACCGGTCGACGCCACGCTTTCGAGATCCTAGTGTGCCATTGACGATACAACACCATTATCCGGTAAGTTGTCCGAACACATATCATCATATAAATAATACACAAGGCATGACAATTTTAGTTTAATCTTTTGCTCATTAATTACATAGTGCCACAAGCAACCACCTAGATCGGTCTACTGTGGATACTATGTGTGTGAGTTCATAAGGCAGCGGGGACGATACGTCAAGGACAAAAATATGGTAAAAAATATCTATGTATGAAGTTTTCTCATTAAAGTTGGAAATATTAATATTGGACATGTGTCAATGATGCTTTTAAACTTTGTTTCCAGCCGAGAAGCAAAGGAAAGGACGTGCCATTCACTCCAAAAACTATGGAAGATATAATAGCAGACTTGTGCGGTTTTATTATGAGAGAAATAATTCCAAGTACCGGATCATATTTTTATGAAGCCGGTGATTTAGCAAGTGAAAGATTTAGAGCGCTGACAGACCTAGCAGGTCTAAACTTGAAACGAAATGACATGTAAACACCAAATGGTTGAACTCATAACATGAAATGACGTGTATTATATGTAATTTTATGCTTGATGTTTGATTTCATGTGTACACATCTATAATATTTATATGTGTTGTATGTATGATGCAATTTTATGGTTCATGTTTGCATATCTTATATATATATATATATATATATATATATATATATATATATATATATATGTGTGTGTGTGTGTAAATATAGTACAATGTGGAGGTAAATATTAAAATTTGAAATAAAAAAATAATTACAGTGCATACAGAGTGAGCCATTGTGGAAATGGGTTTTCACAGCGGTGACAAAGTGAGCCTCCTGTGTAAATAATTTTTACACAGTGGTGACAAAGTGAGCCACCTGTGAAAACCCTTTTTTCACAGGCGGCTCACAGCCCGCCGCCTGTACTGTGGGCCGATTAGTACTGATCCCTAGTACAGGCGGTGGACTTGGCCGCCTGTATAAATGCCTCTACCACCGCCTGTGAAAACGTTTTCTGTACCAGTGTTTTTGTAGTTTTTAATTGATTTAAAGAGGTGACATTACTGTCTTCCTCTAAACGTACTCTACTCCTAACTTAGAAAATCAGTTACATATGAGTTGGTATTTATACGCGTATGTAAATGTCTGATTAACATACTCTGTGGTAGAGGCGGAGGCGTACACACTGCCCACCTCTTGATAATGCTATTTGCGTGACTCAGAAAATGTGTTTCACAGTAGTGTAGCCTAGCATCTTAAGACATTTTCCTTGTTAGTCGATTCACATAACCCATATATACCTGAAAAACCATTTATAGAGAATTGTTTTATGATCCGTCTTCATAAATAAATTGATTGTCTCTAAAAGTTACTAGGAATTTTAGGACATAGTGACGTTTTTTTGGGACTGTCTATGCAATAAAAGGACTATCTACATAAAATTATTTTAGCAGTTGTGTAAGGCCTGCAAGCAAAGACCTGGTCGTGAACTACCGGTTGTTGTGAAGTGGCTGATTTGGTCTAAGGATGCATTTGGTTCTGCTGCCTTCCCACCACCTCGTCTCGCTTAGCTTGGCAAGGCTAACACCTTGCCCAGCAGTCGAGAGCAGTTCGGGTTCACCCTCGCTAGCAGTAGAAATTTTGGACAGCATGGAAATCAAGAGAGTGAGCAAACAAACCAAACATATATTTTCTTGCTCAGTCTGTGGTGTGTGTGAAGTATAGACATCATCATAACTTTTTTTTGCGACTAGACATCATCGTAACTAATAAATCAATAATGTTACTCGATTACCCAGTAGTTATGGTTGCCATTAAATTAAATAAGATATGATTGTGGAGCGAGACACCTTGATCCCAATTGGCTCTAATAAGATATATAATTTTATATGGACAACAAATATCCTGTAGCCAGGTGGCCACAGAATTAATTATTTAAATTGTCGATGAGCGTGCCGGCGACCTGCACGGATCATGGACCACATGGCGAATTTTATATGTATATCCAATTTACAGTCCAATCTAATAATTGGCCAAACTCAGCTCGTTTTGTGTTGCATATATATCATTGATCACCACCACCACGTACCAGGCATAGCAGAGCGTTGACCTGATCTCCTCGATCGCTGCCACGGGGGAAGCTGAGCTGAGCAAGCAAAGATGGCGCCGGTGAAGGTGTTCGGATCGGCGGTGTTCGCCAACGCGGCGAGGGTCATGGCGTGCCTGGAGGAAGTTGGCGTCGAGTATGAGGTCGTCGAGGTCGACTACACGGCCAAGGAACACAAGGGGCCCCAACACCTCTCCAAAAACGTACGTAATACAGGGTCTCTTGTCAAGATTTCATATAAATCTTCGTCGATGTTTTGACTACTCGTACATGCTGAGGTTTACTTGCAGCCGTTCGGCCAAATCCCAGCGTTTCAGGATGGGGACACGATGCTCTTCGGTATGCTCGCAATCCAGTTCGATTCTGCCACAGAAACGCTAGCTTGCTTATTAACTCTTTGAATTTCCAGAGTCGCGAGCAATCGCAAAGTACGTGCTCCGCAAATACTCCAAGTCAGCTCATATCGACCTGCTGCGAGAAGGCGATCCGGAGGAAGCCGCGATGGTGGACGTGTGGACGGAGGTTGAGGCGCACACCTACTTGCCCGCCATCGCGCCCATCTTCTACGAGTGCGTCGTGTACCCTGCCAGGCTCGGCACCTCGCCCAACCAGAAGGTGGTGGAGGAGAGCCTGGAGAAGCTCAAGAAGGTGCTCGATGTCTACGAGGCGCACCTGTCCAAGAGCAAGCATCTGTATCTCGCCGGAGACTTCTTCAGCTTCGCGGACCTCAACCACTTCCCATACACCTTCTACTTCATGACGACGTCTCATGCGTCTCTCTTCGACTCGTACCCCAGCGTGAAGGCGTGGTGGGGGCGCCTGATGGCACGGCCGTCGGTGAAGAAGATCAGCGACGGTATGGTGCTCAGGGCCTGATATGGTATAAGCGACGGTATGGATGCGCTTGGTTCGTTCCAATAAACTCAGTTGTAACTGGATTGCATGCCTTTAATTATTTGCCATGTGTATTTGATATTATATTATATTATATTATATTATATTATATTATATTATATTATATTATATTATATTATATTATATTAGAGGACATTTGCTATTATAGCTAGTGTTGGCGTCTGTGGCTATACTTTAACAGTTCAACTAATACATACATGCATGGCTACGAACAAAGCCGGGGAAAGTGTAATTGATAAACAAGAACTTTCGTCTTTTCGATGTCTTCTCCCAGTAAATCCACGGTGGTGTTGGGCATCAGTTTGACTTTGTGTCATTTAATATAAGTACTCCATTCTTTCTAAATTATAAGGAATCCATCCGTTGAAAATGATAAGTCCTTTTAGCTTTTAGTTTTTCTATATATCTAAATATATTATATATCTAGATGCATAAAAAAAGTTTTAACTTAAAAAATCAAAATAGTTTATAATTTAAAACATAGAGAGTACTAGTATAGTTCTTTTCCTGCCATGTTCCACATTTACAAGAAATCCACTAGCCAATGAGACATAGGAATCATGACGTGACGACTGGGCTTTTGCTTTTTGAAAGACTTTATTAAAGCAAGACAAATATAGTTTTGTCCTCTGTGTCTGACAATTCACGTGGGTAAATCCACATTTGCATAGACAGACCTAACGCCCACCTCTATAAACGAAATACTTTTTTTAAAAACATCCCGAGACTTGATAGCCCACCAAGCTCGAGTCACCGCCGACACTACCCACCAAGCCTATGCCACCATCGATGTTGCTTCAAAGAGCTCGCCATGGAGACACACTACTGCTCCGTAGAAATTGCCGTGAAGACGCTGCTCTGTATAAATTTACATGGAGACTCGCCGACACCCCTGACGCTGCTGAGTTCAATCTAGCTCGAGTGGACGAGACTAAATTGACCCTCGAATCCATGCATTCCATCTAGAGATAAAGAAAGAGAGAGATAGAGTGAGTAAGAGAGAGAGTGAGATCAGAACTGAGATCAGTGCCAATCCAATGCTACCAGCATTAGTTGGGACAAGTGGCCTGCATGCCGATGTCAGAAGGGGAGTAGTATGCCAATGCCGCCGCCCGCGTCCACGGAAGACGTGCCAAGCTCCTTCATCGCCACCTATGGAAGGGGAGGCTTGGCCACCAACCCCACGCAGTTGGAAGATGAGCATGGCCCCACGCCGCGGATCGCTTTTAGGATCCACTCTGCCCCCACCTTATCTAATTGTTCAGGTGACGCATCGGCCCAGTACACGTCCCTAGTGACACCATCGATGGATCCAAAAGGATCGCAAGGGAATGGAGGGAGAGGAGGGAGTAGCGAATAATAATGCTAAGGGTCTCATATGTTGGAGTGATAGAGAGGGAGTGGTGCATGTAAGACTTAAAGGTTACGGTTTGGTTATTAGGCCGGTGTGGGCTTGGTTTTATTAGTAGAGGTGGGACTGCTAAGAGGTCCGTCGCTAAAAATAGGGTCTATTTTCGATACCGGACTCTTAAGATTTTTCATCCTTTTAATTAATTGCCAGAGATATTGCTATCTCCTAAAATGGTTGGCTACCTCTAAAATTTACTATTAGGGATTTTTGAAGACATACATTTTTTGGACCATCTGTATTCTAAAATCGTTTTTTTTTAGTTACGTTCGGTCATGGACAAACATGTTTCTTTTAAGTCAAACTTCTTACCGTCTTTTTCAGACAATTTAAAGGTTGCTGCCTATGCAACATTGATAAGGGTTAAGGTAACCACTCCCACTAAGTTCGCACTTAAATATTTAAACTTGGTCTATGCCCATTTATATTATTATCATTCAAGTAGACGATCCAAAATATTGTTAATGTACGGTTTCGTTCCACTGGCTATCAAACTAAAATATTGACGTTCGAATAAAACAAATGATCCAACGACTCCAGCCTGCCACTATCGTTCATTATCCTAACACAGACGTGTGGATTCCTTAAGATACAACAAATCAGAAGCTGACTTGATCTGTAGGAATAAAGTATGTATCTGTGTTTGTCTAATTTATGATGTTGCTAATCAAATCATTCTAACCTAAACAATCTTCACATAATCATCATGATCAATCATGGAAACAGATGCAAACAGCAGAGACATACTTATGGGCCGTGAGGTGTGGGAATTTTTGACGTGGCATACTCTCTTTTGTGTATATTTGATTATCTTGTATTAAACTATAGCTATAAAATCGTACAACTTGTGAATTTATACGATTCTAATGTTAATATATAAACTAAATACTTTAGTCGGTGTTTGAAAACTTTAACAAAATTTGTCCAAAAAGTTAAATTGACTACTATATAGCCGAAACCAAAAGAGTCTTTAGCTGACTTGGTTTGGTGGCGTAACACTTCTTATATCCTGAGTTGAACTCCCAGACAATCATGGGGAACTATCTTTTATCCCAGCGATGCATCTTCCCAAGCCAAGATTTTGTTGGGGACCCTTATGGGCCACCACCAGTCACAAGGACATATTTTTCTGCGAACTGTTAAGGAGCTCAATAAACTATCTCAGCTGCTTCCACACCCGACCAACTAGTAAAATCCACAGCGGTTTTCCCCAATCTACAGCACTCGATGTATCCTCCATTCCTCCACCACCTCCTTTTCCGAATCACCCTCCACCACAGAACCAGTTCAAATGTTCAATGCTCAATTCAATCAGAGTGACCAACAGGGTCAGCCAAGAGGGGCGCAGCAGGAAAATAGAGGAAGACAACCTAAACAGCATAGGGGGCCAAAGCAGTCTCAGCACCAGATTCAGCAAGAGCAAGCTGAGGAAACCCAAAATCAAATTCAGCATGCAGAAGACTCCTAACTTGCAAAATCAGGGAGAAGAGATGGTGGTTAATGAAGGTGAGAAAGCTCTGGGGGACAAGTCCTTGTATATCATCTGCTATAACTGTGGGAGTATGGTTAGTTTAATGCTTCATGTACTAAACCCAGAGTTTGCTTTGTGTGCTTTAGAAAGGATCACATTGCAGATAGGTGCCCCAAGTGGAAGGATCCTCATATGGCAGTGCAGTATATGGGTGCAAACAAGGGTTTAGATTTCTTTCATGTTCATGTAGAGGAAATCGAAGACAGATTCAAACTTTGAACAGGATTTGACAACTGTGGTATATTCACTATAGATGAGGTGGAGATGGACCAAGATAACATTGTTAAGAACTTGAGAGCATTGTTTGGTAGAGAATGGAATTGGCAGCCGAAGAAGCTTGATGAGTTTAGTTTTCAAGTGAGATTCCCTCTTCAAAAAAAAGTGGAGAGCTTTGTCATCAATAAGCTGTCCTATTTCTACTTGCAGAATGGAGCTGTCATGGCATCTCTGAAGGTGTGGAATGGAAACTGTAACACCATAAATTTTGCAATATTCTAAATAGGTGAATTGATTTAATTATGTATCTTGGTGAGCATTTAAACTTAGAAAAGTAATAATTTTTATTAAGTTAAAAACAAATATAAGGTGTTTGTGCATTCATGCCGCTGCACATTATTTTTGCATTGTGTGGTTTGAACCAAACTTCAAACTAATTCAAAAAGATTTGAAAATGAGTTTGAAAATGCTTGAAAGAAAAAGGAAAACGGATTTTTCTCTCCCTCTCATCCTTTCTGTTTTTTGGCCCACTCTCACCCACAGCCCGCTTCTCTTCTCTTGGCACCGGCCCAGTACCCTGGTCAGCACAGCTCCGCTCCTTTTGTTTTCCTGCGCAGCCTGCTCTCCACCGCGGCCCGCTCCAACAGCTCCCGCAAGCAAGCCCAAGCAAGCAACACGCCGGTCCAGCCAGATGCCGCGCCGCGCTTTCTCTCCCCGCTCGGGCCGAAGCCCCGGTCGGCCCGCTCCCGCGCCTATGGCCTTTCCTCCGTGCGGCCTAGCATCAGCGCTGGTCCATCTTCGCCGCCAGCCCATCTCCGCACGCCGCAGTCGCCGCGCCTCCTACCCGCTGACACGCCGGGCCTGCCCGTCAGGCGTATCTTCTACCTCCGTTTCCTGACCGGCTCGGACACCATCTTCGCCGAGCCCGCTGCTGCCCCCCCGTCTTGCGTGCGCTCCAAGCCAACGCGGCCCCATAAAAAGCAAGCCCAGTTCCGTGCCTCTTTCCCCGAACCGCCGTGCCCCAGAGCTCCCTCGCCGAATCGCCGAGGCGTCGCAAACCTAGACCGCCACCGCCCCGTCCGCCGAATCGAGCCCTGCGCCGTCACAGAGCTGTCTCCGTCTGTGCCAAGTGCCGAGGTGAGATCACCATTCCCTCCTATTTCTTCCTGAGTAGTTCCCGTGGAGAACCGAGGTCTCGAGCCCCTTTTCTCGTTGTGCCAGCAAGCTTCCGCCGTCGCCAATGGCAGCCACCGCGCCGGAGCCCTGTTCCGGCCAGGTGAAGCACCCCAACCCGCCTGAGCCATCCATCTCCGAATCAACGCTCCAGATCGCATACCCTTTCGATCTGTGTAACCGGTCCACCAGCACAGTGTGGACTAGGTCCACCGTACGGGTCCATGGCCGGTGTATCACTCCGACCAATCCTGGTGCGCCATGTGGCTCCACGCTGGTGATGACTCAGTCAACCGCCGGCTGCCGCTGCACTTTTGCACTTAGAACCCTGTAGATCCGCATTATAGAACTCGCCGTCCTTTCAAGTTCAAAAATAATTCAAAGCAAGTCCTTTTTCTTCTATTTTAAACCCTGTACTTTATAGTATTAGAACCCGCCGTCCAATAGAGACAGTTTATAGGTTAGACCTCGTGTAAAATCTCCGTTTTAACTCCGATTGGACCCGTTCAACTTGCGTTAGGTTCATAATTTTATAATCTACATATTCATACTACTGTTAAGTATGTTTTCAACTTTTAAAATTTGAAGTTAGATTTAATCTATTATTTTACTAAAGAAAATCTTGTTTAATTCATAACTTCTTCGTTTTAGCTCCGATTTTTATGATCTTCGCATCTGTGCGTTCGTAGCGAGACGTAGATTCGTTTTCCAAACTTTTCATCTTGATTTTATATTGTTGGTGTATTGTTCTAATCTATAGCTTTTGTTTGCTATGCATGATTGTATGGATGCCTGTGTGGTGCTGTTTGATCTCGAGTAGACAGTGAGTTTTGTGTTAGTGATCTGGAGCAACGCTTTGAAGATCAAGACCAGCAGCGATACTTTGAATTAAGGTAAGTATAATATGAGGCTCTTTGTTACCTATTCACTTTAATGCAATCTCAATTCATATGCATATGTTAATAAACTGCTTTGAGTCTACCTACCTTGATATTGATTATCTTGTCCTTGATATACATATGGGTTTTGCATGTGGGTAGTATGCTTAGTTTGCTCCAACTAATATTGATTAAGGAATACAATTAAAGATATATGCAACATGGTATTAAAAGATGCTTTTTAGCAACATGGAACCAAGGGGGCTAGAGCATTGGGCCTTTTCTTAGGGTGCTCTAGTTTCTCTCCATAAGAACTTATCTTTAAGTGACAACCCAGGACTTACAGTACAACCATGAGGACTACATGGCTCTGGTCTTAGTCTAGTACCTTGCTCTTTCTAGTTTGTAGCAGTTTACCGAAAGGGTAAGAGGGGCATACCGGGCTGGGTATGGGCCTCATCCCCAGGGTGTGTACTATGCTGCGTGTATTAGTGCCACTTTTGGAGATAACTCCATAACACTTGGGAGATGGAATCCTTAGCGACTGCTCCTTATTAGAACGACTGGGGAAAAGCTTCGTAGTGTACCCTGCCTGCTCACCTTGGAAGTGTTTTGGGAGTTACAAACCCGGGCATATGAGTAACACGACTCGTGGTGAAAAGTGTACACCATCTACAGAGTGTAAAACTGATATATCAGCCGTGCTCACGGTCACGAGCGGCCTGGACCGTTACTGAATAGTTGGTTACTTGGATGGTTTGGGTTATGACTAAAACTGCCAATATCTCTAATTATTTATATTTGGGAGTCTAAGCATAACTTAGCAACTTATGATTAATAATAAAATATGATCAACTAAAAGTGCTTACCGCAGTTTAGCCGTGTCAAGCCTTTTGAGACTCCATCCCCTCATGTTATGCTTGCTAAGTGGTAGTAGCTTACGCTTGTTTTATTTTAATACTTTGGCAAAATTCCGGATGGGTACCAGATAGAGGTTCTACAGTGGAGTTTTCCAAGAGGTGTTAGGCTTGTGATCAACCAGTTGACGATTCCTGTGGTGTTGGAGGCTTCGCTAGAAGAATAGAGTTATAGTATATACTGTAAAGTAAGACTATATCTTTTGTAACAACTACTTATGCGTTGTGTAATAAAGGCATTGCCTTTGATATTACCCCTTCATTTGTAACTATATGTGTGAATTGAATTTCTGGGCACACATATGGTATGTATCTGGTTTTGTCCTTAAAACCAGGTGCTACATAAACATTGAGCCTATTGGATGTCTCACTGAAGTTTGCGTCCAGGTGAGGGGAATACCACGAAAATGGTGTGACAAAACTTTAAGATAGGTGGCCTCAACTTTGGGTAAGCAGGAAGAGATAGACTGGCTATCTCTATTTGGAAGGTTTTTTTTTTGCCATGATTAGGATCAATGACAAGTGCAGTAAACTCCCAAGACAGAGAATTATAGAGATGGCTGATGATATCTACTTGTTTAACTTCAAGACAGAGAAAATGTTTTAATTTGGAATGTACGGAGTAATTCTTATCAATTCCTCACCAGAATACAGTAAAATTTTAACTGTTTGGTAAAACTTCATATAATCCGCACTAAGGAAGTTAGAAGCTGACTAAACAAGCCCTAAATATAATCCTTTAACTGCCACCATGTCCCATGTAATCAGGCATATGACACTGAGGGAATATTTCTCCTAATATCCCTCTAGTACACGACAAACGGTATCTACTACAATCCTATATCATCTATTTTTTTAGCCATCTAGGCGTTTTGCAATAGAGATATAAATGATAACCTGAAATATATGGAGTTTAACCTTTTAAAATCATAGTTGTGTTAGTTTTAGCTTTCAGGAAATTCAATTTCTGAGTCATGTTATGTCACTTATGGATTTGTTTTATCTATTAGGAAATTCAATTTCCCAGTCATGTTATGTCACTGATGTGAGGTATACTATAAATTATGACCCAAGTAACAGATCACGGAATGCAGGGCCGCACGTCCTTTCCTTAGAACTAGATAATGATGTTGGAAGGTGAGTAGTTTACTTCACTGGTATCATAGAGGCAATTATGATCTGAGTAGGAGACCAACTATAGTGAACTCAACGCATAGATCTTACCAAGAACAAGAACAGGTTCTCCGAACGCTCAAATCTCATTATATATTTCTTGTGGCTTCATCTCTACCAAATCGGTACATTAAATTCAGCAGAGTCTTAGTTTGTCAAGTCTTGATAGTTCACATCTGTCCAGTTGTCAAGTCTTTGGTAGTTCACATCTGTCCTCCTCCACTATTTGTATCAGCATTTCAGCAACCACTGCTCCGTGGATTTGCCACTCGCTTATATAGAGCATAGAGGAAGCTTCTTCCCAGCCTCTACAGCAGTCATCATTCATTCATCACCCACAAGCCACAACCATCTAAATAAAGGCTAGTGAATTGCATTAAACGAAGCTGACGAGCATGGTGCCGCCGGTGAAGGTATTCGGGCACCCGATGTCGACGAACGTGGCGCGGGTGTTGATGTGCCTAGAGTAGGTCGGCGCTGAGTATGAGCTGGTGACCATCGACTTCCTCGCCGGCGAGCACGAAGTACCTGACCACGTCGCGCGAAATGTAATAACCCGATTCCCTAATCTCCTTTAAAACTTGTCTTATTAGTTTGCTCAATATTAGTAGTGGAAATACAGTGTAGTCGAAACAGGATAATAATTACTGTACGTACCTAATTACGAGAACGTTTTCCTGCAGCCGTTTGGGAAGATCCCTGCTCTGCAAGATGGCGACCTTATCCTGTTTGGTAAGTTATTAGCTAGCATCATCAAGCGGTTGCCTGTAGATACTTCGGACTCTCTGCACAGTTTTCACCAATCAAACGATGATCGCTGAACTCGTGAGTTTTCAGAGTCGCGCCCAATTGCGAAGTACATCCTCCGCAAGTTCAAGTCAAGTGAGGTGGATCTCCTGAAGGAGGGGGACATCGCGGGGGCGGCCATGGTAGACGTATGGGCTGAGGTCGAGGCGCAGCAGTATTACCCTGCCCTCTCGCCTGTAGTTGTCGAGTGCATCATCTTCCCCGTCATGCGCGGCACCACCACTGACCAGAAGGTCGTGGACGAGAGCCTGGACAAGCTGAAGAAGCTGCTAGAGGTGTACGAGGCGCGCCTGTCGGAGCACAAGTATCTGGCCGGGGATTTCTTCAGCTTCGCGGACCTCAACCATTTCCCCTTCACCTTCTACTTCATGGCGACGCCGTACGCGTCCGTGTTCGACGCGTACCCTCGCGTGAAGGCGTGGTGGCAGAGCATCATGTCCAGGCCGTCCATCAAGAAGATAGCTGCAAATATGCCGACCATGTTTTAGGTCGGTTTCGCATCTGTTGATCGTGAAATAAATCAATTATGCTTCGTGTGGATCAAAGAGTACTGTGGTCATCTTCTTCCGTACGAGTATTTAGTATTTAACGTGGCGGGCCTCGTAAATCTGTTGTCGAATCTGTACACTATCTTCTTGTGTCAACAAACTAGTAGTTCATAGAGAGTGAATAGCAGCTTTTGGAGCACGAAAAGCATGATCTCGTCAACTTGGCGAATACGCTCCACGGGATGTGGCCGCTGGTGAGGCCTCTCCGGCCCCGGTGCCATACTGCCACCATCGCTGCTGACATCCTAGCTGCGGTGATTGCCTCCCCTGCTCATCTCTCCTGCTTGTCTCCACTTCTCCCCTGTCCTCTGTTGGTTCTCTTTGATCTCCATTTTGGCTATGGCTCTTCCTAGCCTTGACTTCTCCCTGGGCCCTCCTGGTACGCATGACCATTGACCACCGCCGCTTGTGCCTTCACTGGTGGAACGGCCGGACCACTGCCGGCCCAAGGCCTTTTTCTTTAAAGAAAAAAAAAACAATCAGAAGCTGCCGATTATATTAAAAAAAAGAATAAGTCCAGACTGGACAAACAATATAACGACGACAACCTGTAACAACTACTAAACCAACATAAACCACCTAGAACAACCAAAAAAAAAAAAGGATTGGGACCTCAGGGAAACACGCAGCACAACATCTTCAAAGCACAACTCAAACAAACCAAACAAACAATTGCAACTGAAAAAGTCTAACGAAGAGGCAAAAAGATCCCCGCCACAAGGTCCTAAAAAGCACATCCTTTCGCATGCACAAGTGAGCTGAGGACGTCCGGTGGCAGAAGTTGCCTCAAACATTCCGCATAGCCCTTGATTGCATCCTCATCAAGCTTGCCATCATTCCTGATAATGCCCAAATTCTTTAGTATGTTGCGTTTTGCAAGCCGGGTACTTCGACGAAGTGACAAGTCATAAGATTTACGCCTATGCCTTGTTGCCGGTGTCGTTGGTGAATTCACCGTACCGGAGAAAGGTGGTGAACGGTGTCCTTTGGAGGTGGCTCGACCCCCAACAGTAGCCAACTAGGACCAACCAAGGAACTAGCCAACTAGCTTCTGCTGGCCAGCGGTGGCAAACAGAGCACTCGGTGGTAGGGATGGAAAGTAGAAGTGGATATCTGAATTACCACCCGACTTTCATATACGATAAATCTTGTAATATAGATATACGTATTTGTATTAATTTCTAATGTGGATATTATTGTACATATCTGAATTTGTTTTTCCAGTATTTTTCCCTTTTCAATTCTAGGTCCATATTCGACAAAGATATGAAATATCCGATATTTATCCATATCCACAAACAACAAGGTATAATAAATCTATTTAAAAATTTTCTCTCCATGACTAGTGACTAATTATTTGTTTTTAATATTATAGCAAATATACCCATGCATTGCAACGGGAGAAAAAGGACTATCAAATATTCATGGAAAAGATTATATTTTACATTTTATATAAAATTTAAAAACTATAATTTATTTTATGATGATCATGACACTCATAATATAATTTAATGATGGCAATAATACAATAATATCCTAGTATGTCCGTGTCAAATTTAAATTACAATCTTAATAGATTTTTTTTCTCCCGTTACAAAGCACATAAATATTTTCATACTATTTATGCGTTGATATGATATAGGTTAAGGGGCATTTTGTTACGAGACACTGGACAAGGGTGGAATTGGTGGGACAATGCCGCTAAAAACAAAAATTACTGAGTACCGTTATGAAATCATGATTATTTGTTATAGGACACCGTAACAATTATTTTATTTATTTTTTGATCTAAGGAGAGAGAAGGTAGTGAAATGCCGGTTTTATCCTTGTGTTCAACCTCTTGCTCCCTTGCTTCTCAACTGGATCTCTTCCTAAACACCGGGCGATCGACGCCGAGATGGCCCCACGCGACGCAATACCGAGCCCCGCGCCCATGAGTCCACGCGGCCGGTCCTCATGCAGCAGGGTGCCACCACCGCCGCGTTGGGCACCCTCGGCTGCGTGCTCGCACGGCCAATCCTTGTGCAACTGGGTGCCGCTGCCGCCGCGCCGGGGAGTGCTAGCTGATGCACCTCTTCTTCCCCGTGCACGAGGACGGCGCTGACTCTGCTAGTGGCCTCGACCTGGCAGCCATTGACGTGCTCCCAGAGTTCGTGTACGATGAGCTGTTCGGAGGCATCGCCGCTGCTAGCCAGAAGGGCAAGGAGAAGACGCCCGGCCATTCGACTGTGTCGCCTGCATCTGCGAGTTCGAGGACTACATTTGTCGCCACTCCAGTCGCTGCTCGCTCTGCCGCACCAAGCTCTCCGTGTGCCACACGCCATCCGTCGGCCCGGGCATTGAGGGGCAGAAGCCGCAGTAGGACCAGGACCAAGCTGCGGAGGATTGAAGCACGCCGGCGATGATGGCCTCCGGCGGCATCCAGAAGCTTTGCCTAGTGGCGATGGTGTGAGCGCGGTGTAGCCGAACGAGAGAGAGAGAGTGCAGAGAGGGCAGTGCGAGGAGGTCGGCAAACGATGAAGACAAGGGCAAAAATGATATTTCACCATCTTCTCTATCGTCATATATGAGAAAATCAATATAACAATCGGTGTGATGTCCTAAAGCAAATAATCATGATTTCATAATCACTACTAAATTTTTTTTTGAGACAGGCTCTTTTATTAACAGAGGCGGTCATACGATTTAGTGTCTCCTAAAATACCTACGGATTTTTAGAATGATCGTTTTATTTATGGAGGCGGTAAAAATCTACCCTTCTCTTAAAATCAATTTGTGTTCCACCTCTGAAAATTGAAGCCATTTTCGCAAGTGGACCTCCTAAGAGATCCGTGTTAGTTAATAAGGCCGAGCCCATTACCAACCTCGTGGCCCATGTCAGCCCGATAAAGACCTCTCACTATATAATGATAGAGAGTAAACCCTAGCCCAATATCCATCTCTATCTTCCACCGCACATGGTCCTCATCCAGTGCGCGTCTCCTTCACTGCGTGTTTCCACTCTTGCTCGCCCATCTCCCACACTGCACACTGTTGGAGGTCTCTATCGATCAAATCCGATCGCCAAATAAGTCACAAAAAGAGGAGAAATTAGCACTCTTAATCACATATGTATTTACTATTAATCAAGTTCCACATATATTTGGAGAACATTATTTTCTAGGTCACAAACACAAATACATGGAATAATTCACCAAAAGACGCTTTTCGACGCTGATTTGTGCGAAGGAACAAGGGAAACACCCATCAAATCAATTCAAATTGGGCAAAACCCCACAGGGAAACAATCCTGGTCCAGCCCACGGCCTGCCAGGCGAAGGTGGTGGCGAGAGGCCATAGTCAAGGGGCGGCCGACCCCTAGGGGCGGCCGACCCTTTGCCGGCGCTGCTCAGCCCCTCCTTGCTGTGGTGGTGGCATGGAACCATGCTAAGGCGGTGGGAGCCGGTCCTCGCGCCAATTATAGCTTGTAGCACCGCCTATGCTCCTGTATAAGTAGAGGGGTACCCCCTCTCTAAAGACACCATATTGAACAACACCTCACTCTGTACTCTCTTTAGTTTTACCTTTTAGTTGTATTAGAGCAAGGCAAAGCCACCTTGGAGGGCTTGGCTCCTTGGAAGAAGAGATTTTTGGTATGAATATCAATATGGGTTCTTCCAAAGTCATGTCTTCACTTTATTATAGTCATACTTATGAACTAGAGTATAGTTATTGTGTTATGATCTCGATATATGAACTAGTGCAGAGTTTATGTGTCATGAGAATAGCACACTTAACTCTATGCTTAAACAATCATATAACTTATATAATCGGAATTAGAGCTAAGTTGAGGTGGCGGTTCATTGTACCATTAGTTGTGCCCAAGTTCTTTACCTGTCGATCTGTAGGGTCGGGGACTCAATGGGATTTGGGTAGTTTCTGTATACGCTAGCGTGGTGCTTGGATATGGAGAGATAGGTGAATGCATTATCCTTGTCCCCGGTTGAGGCGTAGGCGGCAGGTGGTGACAGCCCTGTCCGTCTTTTGTAATCCCCCACATTCGTTTAGGGTGTAGGAGTCTAAATTGTCACATGAGGTTGCTGGTAGACCAATACTTGGTGGCCTCCCGACCTGCTTCACACTTAGCCCTAAAACTAATTATGTAATTTGTATGATTATCAACTAATCTTTGTATGACTACACCAGACCAATGCCTGCTCGACTTAGGATTATTCTTTTATCTTTTCTTTTCTATTTTATCCTTTGAGGAATGCCAAGTGTGTGTCCACTATCCTAAAATTATCATTCTTACCCCTGCTATAAGCAGTGGTGTACTTGCAAGCATTATTATTCAAGTTCATATCCATACTAGACTCTTAATCAAATGCCTTTCTTTGGAAAAATATAAATAATGATACCCTAAATACTTTCAGGTGAAATACTATAATGATAGCTCCGTGCGCTTGCATATAAATATCTAAAATTGTTAAGGAACTATCAAGGCTATTTCTTAGTAGCATGGCTACACATTAGTTCTGTTGCTAAGAAGTACCAACAAGGTATTTCTAGCTCTATTGCTGAGGATGGATTCAAACCTCGAACTTAGAAGTGACGTTAAGAAATACCAACAAGCATTTCTAGCGTCGTTGCCGGGGAATGCATATTGATTAAAGAATCTAGTAGGACATGTTCATGATAATATACATGTAATGTAGCCATTGTTTATGCAGATAACTTTGCTTGTTTTCTCCTGTTGTGGATGAAAACAGGATAGTGTATGTCCGGTTACAAACTGCCGGAAAACTGCATCAAAAATTCGGAAGCACTCCTAAGGAAGAAACGGTCTCGTACCGCTTCTTCTTCTGCTACTCCTCCGATAGTTAAACCAATCACCCCTGCACCATCTGCTACTCTAATAATGTCCAAGACCCTCCGTGACTACTCTATCCCCGCTGTTGCCA